ACCCATTGGATGTAAGTGGATCTATAAGAGAAAGAGACGATCGGATGGGAAGGTGCAAACCTTCAAAGCTAGGCTTGTTGCGAAAGGTTATAACCAGATCGAGGGTATTGATTATGATGAGACCTTTTCGCCAGTAGCTATGCTTTCGTCCATTCAGATTCTCTTGCCTGTAGCCGCTCATATGGACTATGAGGTCTGGCAGATGGATGTCAAGACAACTTTCCTTAATGGGAACCTGCAGGAAGACATCTATATGCAGCAACCAGAGGGATTCATTGCTAAAGGTCGTGAGCATCTATTGTGTAAGCTTAATCAGTCTATATATGTACTGAAGCAAGCTTCGAGACCTTGGAACATTCATTTTGATGAGGTGATCCAGTCGTACGGGTTCACTCAATGTCCGGATGAGCACTGTGTTTACAAGAAAATTAGTGGGTGCGTGGTGGTGTTTTTTGTGCTTTACGTAGATGACATACTGCTTATTGGAAATAGTAAGAAGGAGTTGTCAGACGTAAAGGTGTGGTTGTCTAAGTAGTTTGATATGAAGGACTTAGGTGAAGCAGGACACATTCTTGGTATTAGGCTCATTAGAGACCGTAAGAAGAGAATGTTGTGCTTATCCCAGTCTTCATACATAGATACTGTCTTGGCCAGATTCAGCATGCAGGATTCCAAGAAAGGTATGTTACCTTTCAGACATGGAATACCTCTATCTAAGGAGATGTCTCCTAAGACGTATAAGGAGATAGAGGAGATGAAGACAGTTCCTTATGCTTCGACAGTAGGAAGTCTCATGTATGCAATGTTGTGCACTAGGTCGGATATTAGCTACGTCGTTGGCATGGTATCTAGATATCAAAGTAGTCCAGGACAGGAACATTGGTCTACGGTGAAGCATATACTCAAGTACCAAAGAAGGACTAAGGAATACATGTTAGTGTACCGTGCAGGCAACTTGTTACCTCTGGGTTACAGTGATTCTGATTTCCAGTCAGATAGGGATGAAAGTAAGTCAACCTCAGGTTATGTGTTTACCTTGGGAAGTGGAGCCATTTCATGGAGGAGTGCTAAGCAAAAATGCGTGGCAGACTCCACCATGGAAGCCGAGTACATAGCAGCTTCAGAGGCAGCGAAAGAGGCAGTTTGGTTCAGGAACTTCTTAGTGGACTTAGAGGTTATACCGAGTTTGTCACGTGTTATCACCGTGTACTGTGATAACAGTGGAGCAATAGCGAACTCAAAAGAACCTCGAGCACACAGGGCAAGCAAACACATAGAGCGCAAATACCATCTGATTCGGGATATCGTTGATAGAGGAGACGTTGATGTTGCCAAGATTGCGTCAGAGGACAACCTACCTGATCCTTTCACGAAGAGTTTGCCGGGGAAGGTCTTCATCAAACACGTGGGAGGGATGGGAGTCATGAGCATGGCAATAGGATCGACATAGGTCTTTCAGAATAACGAATTGATATGACTATACTGTAAAAGCGAAAGCTTAAGTGGGAGATTGTTAGTGTTATATACTGAAAGCTTGGCTTTGCATGTTATTACACATTTGTCCTTTATAAATGAGAATCGTGTTAGATTAAACAAGTTCTACGTTCTGTTGTTCTGCACTTAGATTGGGTGGGTCGTCATCGGGCGAACCAAAGATCACTCTATCAGTTACTTGCGAACAAAAATAGTTGTTCACAACCTAGATGAACATGAACACCCCATCTGAACGGTTGTTGTGTCAACTGTACAGTTTGTCTTGACTGATTAGTTGCACTAGTGCATTATATATAGGATGTGCTGTTAGGATATTTACGGTCACCATGTGCGTTAGTTTGATGATGTCCCCGGAGTGAGTTCGTGAAGGATTGTTATGCTAAACCCTGCAGGTGGATTAAGTTCCGGCATAATAAGAATGTGATGAACGAGCGCTAGCTTCAGTGAAATAATAATAAATTAATTAATTCTTGATTGTCAGTAATCGAATTAATTAATGGACATTATATCTTAAACGTGGGGAGATAAATCGAGTAATTATTATTGGAGTCTCAAATGTAATTTGGGCTAGGAAAAGAGAGTGCAATAATATAATGTTGGTGGCCCATTAATATTATTTGATTAATTAGAGGAGTGGGCTTGGCCCACAGTTAGTCTAATTAATTAAGAAGTCCTATTCCTAATCTCCTAAGGGTCCCTACTGTAGCTCTATATATACATCATTAAGCTCATGCGAAGAGAAGACATCTGTCATTATTCATAATACAAGCCTCACGCCTCTTTCTCTCTCTCTAGATCTCATTCGAGCTTTATCTTTTTCTTATTGCTCTACTGGGGCAAGTTGAAGAAGGGTGTATTGAGTAATACAGTAGGAGATATATAGGTAAACCGAGACGAAATATATTTTATCCTACAGACCTAACCGGAGGTCCGATTGAGACGCACAGCATACCCAGACGACCGTCTCGACGAGTCCTTTCCATAGCCGCTAAGATCGCACCAATCCGACAAAACACGCGCCCTCACGCAACGCCGGAAGAGGCCTGGCTGCAAAGTTCGTCTTCATCTGTTTGCACCCGTTTGATCCGGTTTTGATCTGATCATGTTCGTGCAACCCAAGACGTGAATTGCGGTCAACCGTTCAAGGTCTACGTATATTTTAAGTCGTAAGTTTTCTACGTCAAACCTTTAGATCCGTTGCGCATAGGTTTACGGTTGCTGTTGAATTCGTGACTTGTGCATAATGAGATTCTCACATATCCCAACAGGTACTTATGGCAAAGTACGATATTAGTCCCTCGACAATATCGGAGAGTCTTTCTCGTCGTCAAAGCTCGCCTCTAATGCGAGCAATTAAAAAGATTTGGCCTAATTGATTCGAGGCGTACGATGGATCATTGGGAATGGTGAAACGATCCGTTTTTTGTTGGACCCATGGTTGGGGATGACGAGACCTTTGATTAATTTTGCAACCATCTATCTACAAGAGGAGAATTTATCGAAGAAAATTTTGGAGTTTCTGGATCTTCCATAATGCAAGGTCCAGATCCAGTTGGTTAACCAAATTCTTTTATGAAGTTATACCAGTCCAGAACCGACGAGATTTGGTTTGATTTGGAGTTAAATTGCTCTAGTTTTAGATAGAGGAGTTTGCCCTCATTAGAAGTTTCAAATGCAGCAGTACTTGCAAGAAGTTAAACATCCTAAAAGTGTCTCAAGGTCTATATGACAGGTACTTCTCCGATGTTGTACTGAACTGCAGCTGCATCATAGTGCAATTTTTGAAGAAATCATGGAATTCAGATGATGACGGGTCAAATTTGCCGGCACATTCTAACAATGTAAGTATACAATTTTTTTATTTTTTATTTATTAACTGGTAATAATATGGTTATATTATTATAAGATATGTTTATATTCATTAGATTGCGCATTGAATATCAGAATGTATAAATTCAGCTCATGTCAAGCATATGTGAATACATTAAACAAGTGTGAATACAGAATATGTGTGTACAACATTCACTAAACCAACAAACATTAGATTGTATATATTCAGTATATGTCAAGCATATGTGAATAGCTTTGGAAACTGTTATTAATTATATGAGCATATTCAACATATGTTAAGATATGTATATTCATTAACAGGTATACATAATGGGTATAGTCAGTATGTATATATTCATTAGATATAGCATGTAATTTTATTTTGTATATATTCAGCATCTGTTAAGAAAATGTGAATATGTTTGTGTGTATATTAAGCGTATGAAATGTATATAATTCAATTGGATGAAGTAGTTGGGAAATTGTTTCATATATCAATTACATGTATTTTTGTAACTGGAATGAGAATTGCTCATACCACATCCAAGGAATTTAAATGTCAAGATTCAGAGCAGTAATGACAACAGCAAGAATGAGTCAACCATCAACGAAATAAAAAGAATGCTTACCCCCCAGCGGATTGAGATTTTAAGAGGTTCGGCCTTTGGGATATTTCTGGATCTTCCATAATGCAAGGTCCAGATCTAATTGGTTAACCAAATTCTTTTACGAAGGTATACCAGTCCAGAACTGACAAGATTTGGTTTGATTTGGAGGTAAATTGCTCTAGTTTTAGATAGAGGAGTTTGCCCTCATTGCAAGTCTTAAATGCAGCAGTACTTGCAAGAAGTTAAACATCCTAAAAGTGTCTCAAGGTCTATATGACAGGTACTTCTCCGGTGTTGTACTGAACTGTAGCTGCATCAGAGTGCAATTTTTGAAGAAATCATGGAACTCAGATGATGACGGGTCAAATTTGCTAAGTTACATCTACTAGTAAATTTTTTCATGGGTTCGCAGGACTCGCATCGGTTGGACAGATGCTACCTCAACATTATCGACAACTCAAATTTTGATGATTATGCTTGGGGGACTGATGTCTTTCAGTTTACGTTCCATTATCTGAAGAAATCTATGCGAAATAGAGAACAAATGCACAAGACTGGGAAAATCAGCGGTGCTGGGTATCTTTATAGATGTTATGGTCTTATTCTTGCTTTTCAAATATTGTTCTATGAGATTTGCACCACCGCTGATGGCGTAGTCTTCACATGACTTGGCAGTCACGATATCCCTATAATGCTCAAGTGGGAAGTCAGGGATAACAACAATATTATATATATATATATATAAGAATTACTATTTACTAAAAATAATAAGCAAAAAAAACCTGTCAAAATTATTTGCATTCTATTTTTGGAATGTTTTTTCAAATTTATTATTTTTTATTTATGAAATATCTAGCATATTTAATGTTGTCATAAATTATGGGATTTGTTATATTCAAATTTCAAAAACTCTTGCCTAAATGTAGTTTGAACTTTTTTGGAAAAAAAAATTAAATCCTAAAAATTGAAAGGAAACATTCCATCTTATCTTATTAACAAATTAGTAACAAATCTACAACCTAGCTGTCGGGTGCTCTTTATTCCCACCTTTATCAAATAACAACACCCATGGCCGAGAAAAAGAATCTGGCTCCGACGGAGAAAAAAGAGAAACCTCACGAAGAAGGGCTGTTGGAGAAAAGAATCGTGTGAAGAGGAAGGTGCAGTCGTAGATCTCCATCTTCAAGTTGTTGAAGCATAATCCTCCACCACCACCGCCATCCTTTGTCGGTGCACTCTCCTACATCGTGCCCTTCCCTACAAAGGTTAAGTTCAATGAGCAATATTTGTCCTAGATCATCGGTACCACCACCAACTCAACTGTCCGTCACCACCCCTGCAGATGTGAAATTGATTAATTAACATAACAATCTGCAAATCGAGTTTTCTTCAGAGGTTAATTCCGATCAAATATTTTTCTCAGGAACTCGAATTCCAATAGATTGTACTCTGGAAAGATTTCTATTGAGCATCAACACCACCGTGGCAATGTTCCTCAGCCACTCAGTCAACTTCGGGTACCAGCGAATTGTTGTTCGTCAACCTCACTGCTAAGACCGTATGGCTCGACATCAGGTAAGACTGAAACATTTTTTTTTAAGCAGACATTCACCTTTTAATGTTTTGCATATAATGAACCTATAAATATTTACTATTTCGTTATTTGTTTCTAATGAGCCTTAAATTCCCGTAATTTATGTTGGTTTCAGATTCTACCCGATTTTTATCTTCTCAGAGTTCAGTTACGCGTGAGTTCTCGGTGAGGTCGCTGCATGAGATTCAATACTTGAACACTAATAGGTTTTGATTTTGCCATATGTCTTTGGTTTCTTTTGGTTTCTTTATTGTTTGGCATGTACAATTGTATTATTTTCTTTTCCCATATGTCAACTATAAATTGTTCTTGCATATTTGTTGGCTTACCATATAAATATATGGATTTTGTGTGTTTATAGTTTTCTTTTTTTTTCGGTCAGTTATCTTGTGGCAATTAGTGAGTCTATAAATGTTCCATTGTCACTAGAATTTGTTAATGTTGGTCATGATTTTATTGGTGTTGCTAATCCATAGCCATCTTAATTGGTTTGAAGAATGATTTTGAGTGCATGATAACTCCTCTTTGCGATTTTATTATTGTTTCAAAAATTGTTGGTTTATTTCCGTATCCCAATTTATTAATGTGCTGGAAATTCGGAATTTTGTTGGTATGTTCTGTTTCGGGCTTAGCTGAATTTGGAGATTCTGTTGGTTGGTGATTTTTTATGGGAACAAAGTTGCGTAATTTTTGCTTAGATTAAAAGTAGTACTCTTATAATTATCCCAATTCCCAAATGTGTTGGAAATTCAAAATTTTTTGGTTCGTTCTGTTTTGTGGTTAGCTGAATTTGGTGATTTTGTTGGTCTGTGAGTTATTNATTATTATTGTCATTATCATTGGAAAAAAAAGTGTGTAATTTGGGATGTTTTTCAGGTTAATGGGACAGAAAAAATCCTCAGCGGAGGACAAAAGCATGAAAGTGTGTAATAAGAAAGAGGTTTCTAAAATCATAGAGCAAAACTGCAGCAAAAGCACAACCACAACTGTTACAATCAGTAAGAACTCAAAAATGCCCTATACAAATGCAAAGGAGAATTCGAAAACATCCGATAACACGAAGCTCGATTACATCCACGTCCATGCCCGTCGCAGTCAGGCCACCGATAGCCACAGTTTGGCCGAAAGAGTATGAATTCATTTTTAATTTACATTAAGAAAGTATGATTGCTCCCAACCCGTTTAACCACGTCTAACCGTTAGATTGTTCCACATAAGAATATGTTTTTTTTAGAGAAGTTTACAGTGGTACTTAATAACTACTCTTGAATTTTGGGAAGTTTGTTTTTGTTTTGCATTTGTGAGTAGTGCCTTTGAGATTTTGTTGCGGTTGTTTAATTAGTCTTGAGCTTCCATGGGCGGTTTTTGTAATTGTTCCTAAGTTTCGTGTTGTTTCGGATCATTTGTCGAGCATTTTTTGCTTATGAGCAAAGGTTTTGTATTGTGATGGTAGATAAGAAGGGAGAAAATAAGTGAAAAAATGAAGTTCTTGCAAGATTTGGTCCAGGGTGCAACCAAATAACTGGAAAAGTAGGAATGCTAGATGAGATAATCAACTATGTCCAATACCTACAAAAACAAATTGAGCTAACTAAAAATTTATTTAAAAAAATTACCAATAGTAATTATAAAAAATTGTCCAAAGTCAAAACTAATGTGTTTTGTTCCGGGTGGGTTATTTATATATAAAAAAAATATCTGTAGCAAAAAATAAAAAAATAAAAAAAAATGTGGTGGAAATCAATCAAACGGGCGGATTTTGATAATCCGTTTTTTAACGGTCGAATTTAATAAGAATAATAGTTCTAATTTATAACACAGATTTTCAAAATTCGTTTTTAATAAAAAAAATGAAAAATAAAAAACGAATAGAACGGATTTTGGAAATCCGTTTTTAATTAAAAAAACGAAATAAAACGGATTTCCAAAATCTGTTTTTTAGTTGATATAAACAACTGCACCATCCTCCCCAGATCACTGCGCGTTCTTTTGTTGGTTCATAAACATATTTTTGTGTCTTTTGTTTGATTTTCGGCGAATTGAAGCTCCATTAAAAAAAAAAAATTCAACCAATAATCGGAGAAGAGGTTAGTTTTTATTTTAATGTAATGTAATATTATTTTTTTGTTGTTTATGAATGTTTAAGATATATATTTGGTTGATTGAGTATTGTTTATAAAATCTTGAATGTTGGTTTAATAGTTGTGTTAAATGGTTATAATTTGTTATTTGCTATTGTTTAGAAAATCTTGAATGTTGGTTTAATGTATGTTGAATATTTATCCGAATTGTTTATGAATTTGATGTTATTGTTGGATTATGGTGATTAGGGTTTTGGTGGTGTTTTTGATAAATTAATTGACAATTTTGTTTTTTTTTTCTTTGGAATAAAAATATGATTAATTATATATTGTTGGAAATGAGTTTTAAATTTTGATTGGTAAAATAATAATTGAAATTTTCTAGGGTGTTTGATTAGCCATTATAATTTGTAAAATAGAAATTTTTTTTGTGCAACGAGTTATAAATGGCGTCTAACGGTCTCTACTTTGTTAATGCGTACTGGAAAATTCTCTAGAGTGAGTTATGGAATTTTTTGAATTATATGTCTCGTCCCGATTGTTCATTTGTTATTAATGGAATATTATCATATGAACAATTGGTAGATATGATTTACGAAAATGGTGGGTTTCGTGATAGTTGGACAATTTCGGATATTATTTGATGGCGAGACAACAGGATGGTTCGTTTATTCCCGGAAGACTGAATAATGATAATTCTCTTTCGTGGATTTACTACTCTCCTCCTATGTCCTATGTGTTTTTGTATATAGTGCTGGAAGCAAACACACAGGTTACACAGGTTGAGGATCTCCTACGCCATCATATGGTTATGAGGGAATGTTGGGTGGTGAGGGTACGTGGACTACGCATGCCGGTAATTTTGGTGAAGGGACGAGTAATTTCGGCGAAGGAACGAGCTTTACCATGAGAGGACCGGACATTGAGGAAGAAATTGTTGGAGATGAAGATTTCAGTCCCGGGGAAGATAATTTCACTGATGAGACCTCGGAAACCGAATCAGACAGATCAATTAATGAGGAGAGCGAACAAGAATTCATTGAAGAACACCCCTTTCCAAATGAAGGCCTCAACGTATATCGCGAGATGGGTGAGTGGGACTCGTCGTGTGTAGACAGGGACGAGTATGCCTTGCCAACCTGGAATGGGCATGTCGAGACTATCCGTTTGGGTACAGTTTTTCGTACCAAGGAAGAAGCCCGGATTGGTATTAATGCCTGGATTGTTGAGAAGCTTAGGGCGGTCCGGACAAAAGATTCCAACAAGAAGTCGTTCAAAGTTGTGTGTAGATCAGATGAAGTTGTACCATGTATATGGAAGGCCCGGGTGAGTCTTAAGAAACGGGATCACGGCATGTGGGAGGTAACCGAATGGACCGATAGCCACACTTGCATGCAGGTGTTCGAGAGAAATAACCACAAGAATGTGACCGCCACCATGATCTCAAATCTTATGTTGGCTAAGATTCAGAAGCAGGTGACCTACAGTGTGGAAATGGTCCAGGCCGACGTAAAAAGTGCCTGGAGCGTCGATGTCAGCTACAAAAAGGCTTGGCACAGGAGAAAAAAAGTCATCGATCGTCTGTATGGCACGTGGGAATCGAACTTCGTACAACTCCCCCAGTAAGCAAAAATTAACTATAAATGTATTTACGTGTTGTTTGTAACTATATTTATTTATGGTTACCTTTAATAATTTGCAGGTTTTTCGCCGCCCTTCAAAGGGCGAATCCCGGTACAGTCGTTGAGTGGGAATGGCAGGGTGGGGAAATGGCGAAGCAATCTCGAGACAGAGAATTCAGATTTGTCTTCTGGACGTTCGGCCCCGCCATTCAAACCTTCCTTCTTTGCCCCCCGATTATTAGCATCGACGGCACACACCTGCGAGGTTCGTACAAGGGGAAGCTAATTTTTAATTACAAATTAATTTTTTATTTTCTAATTTACAATAGTGTCTGATAAAAAAAACATATGTCCAACTGAGCAGGTTCGTACAAGGGGAAGCTACTTGTTGCCATAGCACAGACCGCGAATAAGCGTCTATTGCCACTCGCGTATGCTATTGTGGACGAAGAAAGCACGGCTAGCTGGTCCTTTTTCCTAACACATCTGCGCCATCATGTCGTCCCCGACAGACCGATATGTCTTCTTTCTAACATGGACAATGGCATATTGAGTGCCGTTGATTTACTGGAGGCTTGGCACGAACCCCATGCATATCATCGGATATGCCTTCGACACCTCCGGAGCAACGTGTTTTCAAGGTACCGGACTAAGAAAATTCGGGGTTTTGTGCTGGAGGTTGGGTTCACTGTGTTCTCGCCGCAAATTTGAGCAGAGTCGACAGAAACTCCATGAATGTAACCCGGAAGCATACAATTATCTTTTCCAAATTCCTTTGGAAAAGTGGACTCTGTACGGAGATAGAAGACGTCGATGGGGCACTCTGACAACTAATATGTCATAGAGTTACAACAACGTCCTCAAAGGTGTTAGGTTCCTGCCCTGCAGAGCGTTGGTACATTTCACAATGAACAAGACGCTGGATTTGTTTCAACAGGAACAGAAGAAGTCCAGAGGATGCAGGAGTCACATTTGTACCGACCTCTATGCCGCCTATCTCGTGTTGGATAGGACAGCGGCGACTCACGAGGTGCAATGTGTGGATGCCGACGGATCCCAGTACAGGGTGACAACCGGTCTACGTGCCAATGGAAGAGGGCAAAACAAGTATGTATTTCTGAATTGGAATTTTTTTTTTCCATTCAAATGATTTTTCTTTTATTTATAATATAAATCATTGTGGAAATCAGGTTTACGGTTTATTATCAGCAGTATCGTTGTATATGTAAGAAGTGGCAGACATTTCGGAAACCATGCTCTCATGCATTGGCCGTGTGTCGTCACTGGGGTGATCAACCGCACTTGTTGTACGATTCCCACTTTTGGACGGAGAACTAGGTGGCTCAATTTTCTAATTGGAATTTTGCTCCAAGTGAAAATCCTGACACGTGGCCGCAGGTGGGATGGAATTTGATTCCGCATTGGGAAAGGATCATTTCGAAGCCTGGACCCGGCCGCGCCCAAACGAGACGATTTAAAATGCAAATGGATCGTCGAGCGCGCCGCAGAAGAGTCCGGGATCAATGCAGTAGATGTGGTGATCCCAAACATTTCGCTGACCGTTGCCCGTATTCGCATCCTCCCACCAATCGAACTAGACTTCGTGATGATTGGGGAAACTAGATTTTTTTATATGTATTTTGACTGAATCGTATTGTTGAGATAAATATTTTGTATTTGGATGATTTATATAATGTATTTGGATGATTTTGAAATTGAACTCGAATTAGTACAATTGAAGTCAAATTAGTACAATCTCGGTCAATTATAGTGAAATCAAACTCGAATTAGTAAAATCAAAGTCAAATTAGTACAATCTCGGTTAATTATAGTAAAATAGAACTCGAATTAGTACAATTGAAGTCAATTATAGTGAAATCAAACTCGAATTAGTAAAATCGAACTCGAATTAGTACAATTGAACTCGAATTAGTACAATCTCAGTCATTTATAGTGAAATCGAACTCGAATTAGTACAATTGAACTCGAATTAGTACAATCTCAGTCAATTATAGTGAAATCGAACTCGAATTAGTAAAATCGAACTCGAATTAGTACAATTGAACTCGAATTAGTACAATATCAGTCAATTATATTGAAATCGAACTCGAATTAGTAAAATCAAAGTCAAATTGGTATAATTGAAGTCAAATTAGTACAATCTCGGTCAATTATAGTGAAATCGACCTCGAATTAGTATAATCTCGGTCAATTATATTGAAATCCAACTCGAATTAGTAAAATCAAAGTCAAATTAGTACAATCTCGGTCAATTATAGTGAAATTGAACTCGAATTAGTACAATTAAAGTCAATTATAGTGAAATCGAACTCGAATTAGTAAAATCGAACTCGAATTAGTACAATTGAACTCGAATTAGTACAATCTCAGTCAATTATAGTGAAATCGAACTCGAATTAGTATAATCGAACTCGAATTAGTAAAATCAAAGTCAAATTAGTACAATTGAAGTCAAATTAGTACAATCTCGGTCAATTATAGTGAAATCGAACTCGAATTAGTACAATTGAACTCGAATTAGTACAATCTCAGTCAATTATATTGAAATCGAACTCGAATTAGTAAAATCAAAGTCAAATTAGTACAATTGAAGTCAAATTAGTACAATCTCGATCAATTATAGTGAAATTGAACTCGAATTAGTACAATTGAAGTCAATTATAGTGAAATCGAACTCGAATTAGTACAATCTCGGTCAATTATATTGAAATCGAACTCGAATTAGTAAAATCAAAGTCAAATTAGTACAATTGAAGTCAAATTAGTACAATCTCGATCAATTATAGTGAAATTGAACTCGAATTAGTACAATATCGATCAATTATAGTGTAAT